GAAAAGAACGAGGGCAAAATGCACTTGGGGTTGCGGTTAAACAATAAAAACCACACGTTCTGGCTTTTCTGTAACGGGGGTTACCCTAGCGAATCATTCCTTATTTTAGGGTTTGTTTTGTTTTCCTTAACAAAACCTGGCTACTGTATTCTATTTAGCTCTGCTGAATCTAATTCTAGATATGTGTGTTTTTGTACATAAATATATATATATATATATACCTAGAGAGACGAATGGAATCATTAGTGCCGTCTTTTCCCTTCTTGCTCTTCGTTTAAAATAATAGTTTGCCTTGGTATTTTTTTACCGAGAAGTTTTATTTGGAATAAGAAATTTACAGAACATAGGATGCTGTTCAAATCAGTGCTACCCCATATAGCCTGTACGGCTTTGGCAGAAAATATAGTAATGTTGGCTGTATTGGTTCCTCTTTATAAATTTGCTTTCTGCTTTGTCAGAATCTGCTTTTCTAAGCTTTTAGGCTGCTTAAACTATGTAGGACTATCTGCTAAATCAGCTTCATTTCAAGTTTCTAGAGTGAAACTCCAGTAGGTTTTCTTTTGTAGCTTTTGTTGTTTGTAAAAGAATGGGGAAAGATTCTGATTTCTGGGGATGCATGTCAGAGCAATTTTGGCACATGACGTCTACGTTTATGGTAAATTCGTCTATGATCTATGATTATAGAAGCATTGGTAATTTGCCCTTGCATTCAGTTTGTGGTTATTAATTATTAAATATTAGTATCTGTCTGATGAGCTGAATCTGTATGGTACTGCTGTCATTCTGCATTCAAAGTGCATATTTTCTTCGTTAATCTTGTCGCCTCTTTTAGCTAATCTTATTGGATGGAGGCCTTGTTTTCTCTCTGGATAGCATTTGTGATCTTTCTTACATTTCAAAACTTATTTTCTTGAACTCATTTAATGGTCTCAGTGATTAAAGGGAGTATTGTTCTCTTTAGAGGTCACGGATTCGAGCAGTTGTGCCTGCGGAGTGTGTGTACTAACTTGTGTTCAAGCTCACGTAATGGAATTATACAAGTTCTTGCTATAAGATAGCTTTGAGCCTTCGACATCCTTGACTGCAGCAATTTGAATTTGGATGGTGATAATGGTATTAAAGCTTATATGGTTTTGAACAAGCTTTATATGAAGTGAATCATAGGAGGAGCAAAGTGTAATGCTTTTACTGATTGGTGTGAATATAAGCCTAGAATATGTGATTTTTGTTGGTTTAATTTGCTTTCACTTATGGAATATGAATTCACACTTATGGTTTAATTCAACATGATCTAGTTTGCACGAATCAAGTGATCTCGGCAGTTAAGGAATGGTTATTTCTAGAGGTCCCGAATTCAAACATGATGTATGCAAGGATGTTTGAGCACTCATTCTTAAATGGTTGAGTCTTGTAGACATATACTACCTAATCACCCCAAAGTAATAAGTAAAAACATGATATAGGTCTTTTGCTTTACACTACTCATAAACTAAACTCTTTTTCTTCTCATTGACAATATCAGATGGTTCATTTATTAAGTTCACTGTTGTAGCTATTTTGGACACAGTTTCACTCAACTATAAAAGTGTGCTTTAATCTTAGTTGTTCAACTTCAACTAAATTGATAACCGTTTCTTTTACTTTCTTTCCACTACCCTACAATCTGCCCAACTTATTTATGGCTCCTGCCCTTTGTGTAAATTGAGCAACTGTTAATTTACATGTTATATTTGAATTGGTCTCTATACTTATCCAAAGATCTTAGTTAAATGAAGTAACCATGAATTATTAACTTATGAAATTGAGCAAGTGAACTTCCTGTTAAAATTTGAACAGATGAGAAGTGTGAAGGTGTTGGTTCATCCGAGGAGGACCAAAACAACAGTGGCGGAGAAACCGAACTCCCCGAAATCGATCCATGCGCCGAAGATCGAGAAGTGAAGAATCACTTACTGAGGAAATATAGCGGTTACTTGAGTAGTCTCAAGCAAGAACTCACCAAGAAAAAGAAGAAAGGGAAACTACCCAAAGAAGCTAGACAAAAGTTGCTTAGCTGGTGGGAGTTGCATTATAAATGGCCATACCCTTCGGTATGCATCTTTAAATCCTCTTCAAGCTATAAATTGGTATTTTCCATTAGAGGAACCACTTGAACTTTTGCTAAATCAACAGGAGACTGAGAAGGTGGCATTGGCTGAATCAACTGGTTTAGACCAGAAACAAATCAACAACTGGTTCATAACCAAAGGAAGCGACATTGGAAGCCGTCCGAAGACATGCAATTCATGGTCATGGATGGTCTGCATCCACAGAGTGCAGCTCTGTACATGGATGGTCACTACATGGGTGATGGTCCCTATTGTTTAGGGCCATGATGATGTGAAATACAACATATATAATAATATATTTGTGTATGTGTTGTGTTTTTCTTAGCGAGTCGCATTGCAGTCATGGTGTTTGAAATCTATTAGTCCTTCAATATTTTATTTGAATAACAAACATACATACGGTTCTGTGCATGACGATCTTTGAGGATGGGGATTTTATTTGTCTGTCATGTCACCAGTTTAAGTAGTAGCTGTACCGGTGACTGCAAGTGTATATATATCTCGTAATTTATGGTATTTTCTTCTCTCATTTTTTTCCTTCATTCATAGAGATAGAAAAACTGGTTGAGGGGTCTTTGTTTTATTTACAATTAGGGTTTAAAATGAGACAAAACATGTTGCAACTTATTGAGTTTAATATGATCAAAGTTTGATCAACGAATTGAATAGACTCCACTTTATTTTTTAATGAATCAAAACGAGTTATTTAATATCCGAATCTAAAAATTCACAAGCAATTCGAAAATAAATATACTAAAATTTTGATTTTTTTAAATAAATTTATTAACTATATTAATATTTATATGTTAGTTTTTTAATACAATATAATATTTTCATGTACTTAAGATTTATGTTATAGCTTAAGTTTAAGCTCGGATTGAGCAAAGTCTGAGAATGTTTCGAGTTCAAGTTTTCTTGAACTTGAATCGAGTTTTAAATTTTAATTTCGAGCTCGATTTGAGGTCGATAATTTTAAATTTATAAACTTTTGAATCAAACTTGATTTTAAACTTTTCAAGTCGAGTTAAATTCAATAATTCTCAAACTCACTTCACTTATTTACAGCCCTACTTACAATCCATTTCTTTAATATCTTACGGCCTTCATAAAATGCGATGGTGCTTTGGGTCATGGAGGGAGGGTCGTTTGCTTTCTAATGATATAATTTGCTGGTGCTCACGGCATGTGTTACCTAAATATTTGTACTTAGGCACATATAGGACCTGTACGAGAATATGATATGTAAATATAAGGTATAAACATTAAAAGGGTAAATTACGTATTTAGTATTTAAACTATCAGTTTTGATCCGTTTTAATACCTAAATTTTTAATTTATTTCAAAACCACACCTAAAGTTTAGATACTGAAATGGATCAAAATTGATAGTTTATGTACTAAACGGATTAAGCTTTTAACGGTGGGTACTAAAATGAAACAAAAATTGAACTTTAGGTATAATTTTTAAAAATTAAAAGTTTAAATATTAAAATAAATCAAAGTTTATAATTGAGGTACTAAATACGTAGTTTATCCATATAAAAATTACACAAGACTTAATAGATGTACAACGTGAAACATTAGTTTTAAACTTCAGTAATTATGTATATTAAGTTTTAACTTTATTCATTTTTCATAAATCACTAAATTTGTTAAGGATATAACGACACTTTACATTTACATATTATAAGCACAAATAAATTGATTTTTTAAAATGTGTATAATTGAATAAAAACAAATTTAATTTCGTACAATTGAATTAAAATCAAAGGTCATAATACAATGAATATGAGTTTTGAGAGTTGGATGAACATCCATTTAAAGCTTTAATTTATATTACTCTCTTAGATGTTTATAAATAGAATGTCTTATAAAAGTTTTATTAGAGAACTTTTGTGAGCTCTGTAAATAATCATATTTTAATTTACATATCACGTCTCATTAAATTTTTTATTCGAAAAACTCAGCCAAACAATTGCTACATATAAATTTGTTCTGTGTGAAGGATAAAATAAAATATTATTTTTTAAAACTATCTTTAATCATTTTTAGTTTAATAAAAATAAAGTAAAAAGAATGGTCATGATGCCCTAGTGCCGTTGGAATGTGCCCAACCAGTCATTATCATATTTAAACTTGAGATTTCTAATTAAAATTAAATATTTATTTAAAATAATTTTAATTAATTGATAATTTACATATCATCTAAATGTAATTATTCTTTTTATCATTTGAGATCCTTTGATAAATTCTAAACTAAATTCGAAATTTATTAATATTTCACTAGCATCAATATTTAATTTATATTACTATTATTTTTCTTTGAAAGATAATATGCCTCCTTAAAAACCCTTCTTACCCAACACCAAATTATTGACCCATCGAGGGATAAATTAAACACAAAATTATTTTTAATTTAATTTGAGAATAAAAAAAATTAAGTACTCATTTATATATATTTATAAAGATGATATTAAATTATCTAAAAAATATAGTTATAATATAATATAAATTTTAAATTATTTAAAAGTAAATAAATAATTTATATATTTATGATATAGATGTAATATATATATATATATATATTAAAATGGATAGCAAAAATAAAAATAAAAGTATTAGGTGGGACTAAACAGATAGTTTCACATTTATTTAATTTGAATTGGTAGGAACCAATTTATTTTGATGGCAAAAAAAAGTATTATTATTTTTAAAAGTTATGAATTTAAATATTAATGATGATTGAATGTTTATTATTAAATAATTGATTCTATTTCGTAATCTTGAAGGGGCTGAAATCTGAACCAATTTATGGTGGGCTAACCTCATCGTGTTAACACCATCCCAAGACGGTAAACGATCATCTTTATGTAGTTATAGTGAGTGCATAGTGATGGCTCTCCATTTTCGGAGGAAATCATGTAGAAAGTTTTCATTCTTCCAACTTTTCCCAGGAAGGGTATGCTCAATGAAATATGATTTTTCTCTCGGAAAGTTTTACACAATGAAATAGAAATTGCAAGGAAAAAGAAGCTTTTTTTTCATCAAAAATCTGATTTTTTTTTTACTAGCAAATAAAATTACACATATTACGAAACCTTTGCGGATGTGGCAAGTTTAAAGTTGTCCAAGTGAAACAACAACCTTCATGGTACTCAATTAATTCACGATCAAACTGTGAAACTTGCCGGTATTCCGCAGCAAAAGAAAACAAAATCCAGAAACAGAGATGTTTAGTGTTCAACTGAGGTTTTTGGACGCTACAATCTTCCAATTCTCTTCTTTGATGGCACTCGCTTATTTTCTTTGCAGATTTAACACCAACAAAATCAATTCAATCGATTAGTTTCCTTAAACAAGAAGTTTGATTCTTTGCAGTTTCGCCGTCGGCCTCAATTGGCTTCTATATCTTCACATGTTTCTTAATCGTCCTCTTCTTCATTGCGCCAAGCGACTGCATCGGATGCTCATAGGTAATAAAAACGAGTCCTTTTCATTTCAATTATGCTGTTTGATTTTGGTGGTTCCATAATCCATTTCCTTTTTGAGAGTAGATTTTATTTTAAGGCACTGAAGTCTCTAATTGTTCTATTAATGATAACTCTTTTTCATCTAGGGGATTATTGAGGGTCTGAAAGCTTACAGGAAACAAAATGGATCTATTATACTTTTTGGTCCCGAGGAAAATGCATCGCGTTTGCAGATAGGTGCAGAGCGAATGTGCATGCCTGCACCGACTATTGAACAGTTTCTGGAAGCTGTAACAACTACTGTATTGGCGAATGAACGCTGGGTCAGTGTTGTTTGCATTTTATCACTCACCTCACGTGTTATATGTCGTGCTGCAGGTACCTCCTTCGGATAAAGGCTCTTTACACATTCGACCTCTACGTTTTGGGAATGGACCTGTTCTTAGTGTCACACCGGCACCTGAATTCACCTTTTTGATCTATGTTACACCAGTTGGGAGTTATTTTGAGGTATGCAGGATATCAAATTCAAGAAGCTTATTAGGATGAAAGGTCTTGTCTACCTCCAAGACAGAGCAGTTCCTTGTCATTTTCATGTGTAATCTGTTTAGAACTTGTAAAAGTATTTGCTCCCCATTTGAGCTTTTGTTTTCTCAAAACTTTAAGCGTCTTATTTTCCTTTTAAACAGACATAGCAGGTACCGCAATTCCTGCCATTGACATTATACGATTATTGTGATGACAGGGTGGTTTGAAACCAATTAATCTGGTGGTTGAAAATGTAATACACAGTGCAACCCCTGGAAGAGTTGGAGGCATAAAAGCTATAGGGAACTATGCTGGGGTAATCGAGTTCAGACGCTACATTTCTTGGTCAATTAGAAAGCAACTGTTTTTTTATATTTCCAGTTCAAAGTTATGCACCATGGCTTTATGTGCATTTTTCTAACAATGCAACCTATAATATGCATTTAGTTAGAAGTTGAAGAGGATATAGTGATTCTTCCCTTTTATCTAGTATTATAGCACTAAAACCATAGGAAATGTGCTATTTTTTTGCCGTACATTCTATCCCAAAAATGTTAATTCTTTGTTATTGGTCAATAGGCTTTAAATGCAAGAGTTCTTAAAATCTTTTACATTTCAAGTTACTGAAATTCTCTGTTAAGGTAAATATTTTTAAGGTCGGAATCTTAATGTACAATATACAAACTAATATGGTTGTCAGAAGTTCCGATCTATGGTATTTCGCTGTGGTTCATATGCATTTGGGTTTTAAATTTTCTCTGGGGAAGTATTGCTTGCATGCAAAGTTTGTTGAAACATAGTTCCAGGTTACTGCACTTTCCTACATCCTTGGCGTATGATAAATGAGCCCATTGATAAAATATTTTGTTTCTAGTCTATACCTTTCTGTGGTAATTTAATCTTTTTCATATATTTACATTGAAACTATAATTTCTTTTCCAAAGATTATGAAGGCACAGGCTGAAGCTAAAACTAGTGGTTTCTCTGATTTTCTGTATCTCGACTCTGTTCACAATAGATATGTTGAAGAGGTCTCTACCGCTAATGTTTTTGTTGTAAAGGTATGACAGTGTTTTGGCTTAATGGATGTTTGATAGCCAATTTCTTAGGCATATCGTACATTTAGACCATGAATTTATGGATATTTTATGACTAAAGAAGTATCGACATTAAAGATAAACGCTATTAGTTGAATGTGAGAGGCTTGAGATGTTTCAAGTGTGGAAGCGGCATTGATTCATCTGGCTAGAAATTCGGAATCATGCATCCATCTCCTAATGGTCAGACAAAAATTTGCCAATATATGATGCTGAAGTATCGGACAATTCAATAATTCCCCTAATACATGTATGTGTATATATTGTACTTTTTTATTTTGTATTGCAGGATAATACAATTTCCACTCCTGCTCTAGGAGGAACAATTCTTACCGGGATTACAAGAAAAAGTATTATTGAGATTGCTCAAAGCCAGGGATTCAAGGTATGCAGTTTGAAGTGGCAGTGTCTCTAATCTAGTGTTTACTGCATGTTTAATATCCTTTCTATGTGTATGGTAAGAATGTCCGGTATTTTTTAATTTCTCAGTTCTATTCTCTTTCAAAAGTGTCTTTTGAATTTAAAAGAAATCGATAATGTGCTCATTATGTCATATCATATCATATATAGATAGATAGCTTGGGCATTATCTGCATCACTCACATTGTATAAATTTGATCTAGGTCCTTTTTAATTATAAATACTTAAAAACAGGTTGAGGAGCGGCTTGTGTCAGTTGCGGAATTGATTGATGCTGATGAAGTCTTTTGTAGCGGGAATGCCGTTTGTGTAATGCCTGTTGGCAACATTAGTTTCATGGAAAGAAGGTGTATGTTCTTGAACTTTAATATCAAGCTGAAAGTTTTTAGAGAGAACCTCAAGGAGTGTTATGATTTTGCATTGTTTATTCGCTGCTTGATCGGGTTATTGCAGGGAGGAGTATGAAAGAGTGGATTTGTGGTGTCTTAGCAGCTCTACTCTGCACTAAAATATACAATTGGGTCTTACAGAAGATAAAATGAGTTGGACTAGGGTGTTAAACTAGTTAAAACATATGACCCAGTTCTCTTCTTGAGTATGTAACATTTACATTGTGGACCAAACTAGTGAAGCCTATTCTGCCCATAAATCTAAAAGTAAAATTTATACATCTGCCATGTTTATGCTTTTGTAATAAAGGGTTGATGTGCAAATGTAAAAGAGGTTATGTTTCAGTTTGTGTAATGCATCATCAAATGTATAAAATTAAAGAGAATAGAGCATGGAGGGTTTGATGAGTGAAATGAGGACCAAGATTGTCAAAAGAAAAAGATTGACAGTTCAAAGCTTGGAAATGTTGTAAGAAATTAAAGACAAGGTTAATGGTGACCTTCGTCCCATGTTTGGAAAAAATTAAGCCTTTTTTTTTTTTACGGAGGGTCTGCTGTGATGCGCCTAAAATAAGGTTAATAAACGGTGTGATCAATAAAAAAAGGTTACAGGTTAAAAGCGTTACCTAAAATGATATACGTTGGAATCGGAAAAATTATCGATCTGAGTAACATAACATGTTGCACTTAGAATGTACTTAGAATGTTATACGGGATAAGCAAATGAGTTATAAATTGTAAATGTTATGAATACTATTAACATTTTAGGTGTTACCTAAAATATCACTAGAGTTTAAGCTGACGGAGTCTTGTATTTTTATACAATAAGAAAATAAATTAAAAGCTAAAAATGTTATAAATATATACAAGAAATATGATTGCGTCATGGTTCACTAAGAAATAAATTGTGATCTGTACTGTTAATATTTTTATTAATAAAATAAGTTGAACTAAAAAATGTCATGGTTCACTGAAAAATAATGTTGCAATATGAAATCTTAATATTTTTAATAATAAAATGGATTGCGACTAAATGTTATCAAAGTTTAAGCTGATTGAATTTTGGATTTTCTCACGGTAAGAAAATAAGTTAATAGCTGAAAATGTTATGAATATATATATATATATAAGAAATACGGTTGTGTCTAATAATATTATGGTTCACAACCTATTTCTTAGTGAACCATGATATTCTTGAGGCAACCCATTTTATTAATAAAAAATTAGCATTCCAGATCTCAACCTATTTCTGAGTGAACCATGACATTCTTGGGTGTAACCTATTTTATTAATAAAAATATTAACACTAGATCGCAACATATTTCTTAGTGAACCATGACATTTTTTTGTGCAACTGTATTTCTTATATATGTTCATAAGATTTTCAGCTTCTAACTTATTTACTTATCGTGGAAAAATCCAAGGCTCCATTAACTTTAACTCTGAAAACATTTAGGTGCAACATAAAATGTCAATAGTATTCATAACATTTATAATTTATAGCTCATTTTCTTACCCTGTATAACATTTTAGGTGCAACCTGATATGTTACTACTTTGATAACTTTTGTGATTTCTCCTTATAATATTTTGTGTTCCACTTTTAACTTGTACGATAGGCTTTTTGATTACATCATTTTAAGTTATTTTAAAATAATTACAACCCAATATATTACCTATAGGTTAACATTTCTGATACCACTAAACCTATTTTGTTAAATTCCTTTTCAAATTCTGAATCATTGTTTTTTAACCTTTTATTACTTTGGTGTTCCTTAGAATCCCCTTTTTTACTTGCGACTTACTCGGTGATTAAAGCCATTTTTTCTCGGTTTAGAGTTATGCATTTTCTAACATCTGGTTGATTTTTTTACGGGAAATTAACATATATCCATGTGTTTCTCCCTTTACTAAATCCATGTGTAAACATGAATAAATTTATCTAAGAATTAAAGAAATTATTGTTGTTCATATATATATATATATTGCATTATAATCTTAGATTGCATTTTGTTCTCTTTTAGGGATGGGGACGGGCCTGAACCTAATGGTACCAACTTGATCCTATTGGGTCAAAATTAAAAAAAAATCGAGTTTGATTATCAGTTCGAGTTTGATCGGGTTCAAATATAGAGTGAAAAATATCTAGTCCAAAAAATAACGTATTACCTTATATATTTATGAATAATTGTAATATTATTTATCTTTATATTTTTTAATTAGATCTCTATTTTATCGAACAAAATTAAAATTTATATATATATATATATATATATATATATATATGTGTGTGTGTGTGTGTGTGTATCGGATTAGGATAGTCAAGTGTAGATTTTATCTAAAAAGACGAGTTTGATTTTGGGTCGAGTAAAATCACCCTAAATTCAGATCAAATCAGATTTTAGATAAAAAGTTATATTTTATCGAATTAGATTAATTAGAAACCTGACTGATACCCATCTTTACGATGAATATATTTGTTTGTATATAGCTTTGATAGTTATGTACAATATTAAATTTAATTTTTTTCATTAAATATTTTTGTGTAATTAATTATTTAGTCTTTTAAGGTGTTTATTTTTCTATTTTTTTTGGAATTAAGTGTATAAATTCTATTTTTCTTTTGTATAAGTTCTTTTTCTTTGTATACTTATGTATCTAACATTTTTTAATTATACATTATGATTAGTTCATATTTATAAAATTAATGTCGTCATGTGTTATATATTTTAAAAATAGGTATTGAAATTTTTTTCAAAAAATAAAAGTTTATTATTTAATTACATAAAAAATAAAAATTTAATATTCAAATTACACCATAAAAATTAAATACCTAAATCACTAAGAATATTAAATATTTGATTGTAAAAAGTAAATATTACATTAAATATAAATGTCATAATTCGGTAAAAAAGTTATGGGTAAATTACACAGATCATCACTGAACTTTACTCTCTCTCCTAATTAACTCATCGTACTTTCAATTTTTTTCAAATTGCTCACTGAACTTTATACATTGCACAAATTTGGTCACTCTACCGTTAACTGAGTAACAGCTGAATGATGTGGATTTTTTAATATTAAAAGGACCAAATAAGATTGGCCACATCAGATTTGGGTCAATATAAACAAACATTTGGGATTAAAATCCCTAACCCTAATGTGAAAATAAAAGAGGTTGAGGAAGGAGATGGAATCAATGTCTGAGTCTAACTCATTTCTGTTCTGCAGGTGTGGGATTCCGACGGCTTTGAAGACGGTGTGGTCGGATGACAACCCTGGAAGACGATTTCTCGGTTGTAGTAACTATAGAAATAAGTGGCGCAACTCTTGCAATTATTTTCAATGGTTTAATCCACCAATGTCTTAACGTGCGAAGATGGTTATGGTTGGTCTTCTCAGAAAAATTAGAGCACTTGAAAAGAAATGAGAGAATTCTTTGGATTTTTGCAGTGATATGTTCAATTTTACTTACTTGCATTTTATGTCGATGATTTTTGGATATTGAATTGGGTATTAAAGGTTGTTGATGATTTATGAAGTAGAAATGCAAGGTTGAATATGGTTTTTGGGTGACCATTTGAAGGTGTAGGTGATAATGAGATAATTTTGTAGATTTTGAAATGTGAAAGATAATTTTGTGAAGGATATTTGTAACTATTATGAAATATGATGAATATTTAGTATTATGAAATGTTAAGTTGTTAAGGTATGTATGGTATTATGAATATTAATTGATGCATTGTTAAGTTGTTAAGTATGTATTTTGATTGGTTTTAAAGAATAGCATTTATAAGAATGAATCAAAAAATGAATTCACATAGAACAGTTATTGAACAAAATAATTATGCTTACATTGAATAGTTTTGAAATGTTCATACATATTCAAGAACAAAAAATGGGAGAAGCTACTAAGCACATTCATATTGCAGCTTCTGCCATTTGAACTTACAACTTTGTGAGGTAATATTTGACAAAATACATCTCCTAAAACAAAATATAGCCAACCATTGGTTAATAGACAAAATATAATTTTGGCCTCTTTGACAAAATATACCAACCATGGTGGTTAAAAAATGCACAAAGTTGATAACAAAATATTTGGACTTCATCTTCATTTACACCTTGGCCTCTTTGAAGCAGGATCTCGAGGTTGAAGTTGAGGTTGTGTGGTAAAGCTATGTTGAGAGGGCATCATCCACCTGACTGTCATTGGTGAGCCTTGTGTACTTTGGCTCCCTAAATGACTCATAACCTACAAGTGGAAAAAAACTGGAAGTGGTTAAATCAATACAAGTACATGGATATGCATAAATTAAGATTACTAATTTTCTAACTGTATAGGCTGAGCCTTGTGTGTGTTGGTTTTCTTGTGTGTGTCTATGCTGGATCCCTTGATGGTTCTGGTTGGGACCTTCAATATTGGACCATATTGATCTCCTAATCTACAAAGTGAAAAAAATCATTACATAATATTGTACTCAAACATAATCCTTCCATATGAAACAAAACAAATAATTTTCTAACACTTACAGGAAGTTTAAGTCTGGCAATTTGTGTTTGTGGTTGAAGTTACGTGGTAGAGTTCTGATGTGAATTCATCATCCACCTGACTATGTTGCTTGAGCTTTGTCTATTCTGACTTTCTTTTGGATGTTGGGTTGGACCTGCTAGATTGGTTGATCTTGGTCTCATAAGCTACAAAATAAAATATAATATTTATTTAAATGTGTATTTTAAAACATTTATTAAATGTATATAATTGTATGATATGTTAACTTACATGATTTTGGTCTCCTCTGTTTGGTGGTGCAATAGGTGTGTTGCCACCAATTTGTTCCCTACAAGACCTCTTATTATGTCCTCTATGACCACAATTTGTACATGTCATTATAACCCTTTTTCCAGTCATTCTTCCAATTGATTGTAATGGTTCACCAGGCTCCTTTCTTTTGTTCTTTTGGGGTCTTCTATGAGGCCTTCTAAGTATAGGGGGTAAGATTGGTTCATTTGTATTGCATTGATCCAATTGCTTTGGACCTCTAACTGGTTTGACCATGTTAGCATATATCCTCAG